TCTGGCTGAGAACAAACCAACCCACCCAGATACGATCACTCAACAAATACGTAGGAGAAAATAGAGATGAATCGGTCATACTCTGAGGAAATCGTCGAATGACATCACGCACAGTGCAGGCCATCACTCGAGTGGAATCCGAATGGGAAACGACTTGTGGATCGTCGGTGCGAGGATGGCATGGATGAGATCGTGTGTCGAGGAGGAGATGAGAGATTATGGTCAATCGTGGACCCAGGTGAATAGAACGGTAGAAAATAGAAGAAAGTGGAGATGTGTTGCTGAAGCCCTATGTTCTATTCGGAACCCAAGTTATTTATATATATTTTATTCCTTTACATTGTCACTGGAAAATAGGGCTTCAAGCTAGATCTTTGAAGTTTCAGTAGCAGTGGCTTGGTTTTAGCGAGGTGAGGTTACTACCCTCACGTTCAACCTTCCCTCTTTACTGGCCTTACTACCTTCTTAGCGAGGTTTAGGAGTGAGTCGGCCGGGAATCAAATCATCCAACACATGCCTGGTTGGTGAGCGTTCTACCTCCCAACCACCAACGTACTGGAATACGACGTGTGACGCAACTAACCAAGAACAACGCCTAATTATTTTCGTTTCGATATTCAACCTCTAAGTTACGTGCTTTATTGACAACTTTAAATAGATACATGTCGATACAAATGACCTACGAGCAACATGTACCATTTCATTAGCTTACAAGTTCTTCTGTGAGCGGTGAAGGACAGACATCTTTTGAGCATAAAAAAGATGATTCTGATTGCATTACGTTTTCGCTGATATATATAAAACTCTCATTTCTTTGTTGTATCTCACTACGAAGTTCGGGAATTTATTACAATCTGTCTACTTTCGAACACTGAATCTGTTGATATAATATCACTGACTACTTATACCTATAACAAAATGTTATGCACCCACAAACAACACAGATCTCGAAAAGAAAGAAGAATTCTACAGACAATTACAGGCAACAATGGACAACACTCCAGCTGGCGACATTAAAATACTAATGGGAGACATGAACGCTAAGCTAGGATCAGACAACACAGGAAGGGAACTCATCATGGGTAGAGAAGCTCTCGGAGAGATGAATGAAAATGGAGAACTCTTCGCCGACTTATGCGCCTTCAATGACCTAGTGATTGGTGACAGCGTATACAAACACAAAGATATCCACAAGGCTACATGGGTGTCACCAGACGGGCAAACCAAAAACCAAATTGACTTCATCTCAACGGTGCTCAAGGAAGTGGAGGCGCAGCCTACTGGACACAAAAGTAAGAAGAGGAGCAGATGTTGGCTCGGACCACTATCTCGTACAAGGGACAATCCAAATCAAATTAAAAGCTTTCTGGGAAACAGAAGCTGCAGATAGACCGCAAGCCAACTTCAACACCCAAAAACTGAAGGACCAGGATACAAAGGACATCTTCATTGCAAGCATCAAGGACAAAGCCGAGGCACAAATCAATACTAGCGAAGAGGTCGGCGTCGAAAAGCACTGGGACAACTTGAAAACGGTGTGGAGCCAAACTTGGATCAAGTGACATCACTAGATAAGCCATCGCTCAAGTGGAACCCGAAAGGGAAGTGACGAATTGGTTGTCAGTGCAAGGGTGACTTGGAGGAGGTCATGTGAGGACGAGATGAAAGCATGTGGGCAGACTTGGAGCGAAGTGAAAAAGTTGGCAGAAAACAGAAGGCAATGGAGACGCGCAGCTGAAGCCCTATGTTCCTCTGGGAATTAAAGGATATAATAATAATAAATAATAATATGCTGAAGAATACCAAATCAAGGGTCCATATTCTGCAGTTTAATAACATTTCTTGAATAATGATTTTCAGCATTTATCAGAATAATGCTGTAGGAAAATGAAAGAACTGTAGACTTTCACAGAACTATTCTTGATTTATATAACCAATTAAATTGGCTTGCTTTCAATGTTTTCTTTTGAAATTCAAATTTTAGTGCATGTGTGCTATTTTGGTGGTGTGATACGGAGAATGTGTCCCAGCGGAATGGTAATCTCACATGTCCTCACAGTTCAATTCAGCATTAACAAAAGAATACAATATATCTATTTTAATATTCTATTTGATGTTAGAATCAGAATACTTTCCCACAGGTCAATACTCCATTAAGAACAAAATACCATGTGGACCACATAGTTAACGTCGTTGTCGATAGGCACTTGACTTCGTGCAATAAATTTGCTAAAGCGATTTTGTCTGACTTGGAGCATCCGCTTTACCCTCAGCTTTCACCTTGCATCTCCTCAGGTAGAACAAGGAGTAACTTCAGAAAACTGTATGCTCGCACGTCTAAGTAAAAGAATTCTATGATACCATACTTGGCACGTATTTTATGTGATGAAAATAGTGTCAGGCAGGAATTAACTAACCTTTTTTCATCTAGTAAATAAACAATTTCCTCCATCCATCCCTATATACTTTCAAGTTTTACTTTTATTACTTCTATTATATTTATGGTCCTGTTACTTCTCTGTTTTACTCTCATAATTGCAAACACCAACTTATCTCCATGACGGCTGTAATCTTTGTTTTTCCCTTCACCATATCATGTAGAAAGAACATTATATTCAATATTTTTAAACATGTTAGGATTTCTATACCACATTGACAATACTGTGTGGCACAAGCCAACGGCAATTTTCACTTGTATTCTTATTATTATTACCCTAGCTGTTATCATTATTATTGCTATTTCCATTTTATATGCTGCATGTTTTTGACACTACCTCTATTGTAAATGTGGAAAATTTTCTGTGTGATTAATTTTATTTATAATTTGAGGAAATTAGATGCAGTAATATTGTGATTAATGCTGAAAATTCCATTCTGTATCACAAGTACTGTTTTGGAATAAAGTAAATCATTATTATTATTATTATTATTTGAACATTCTATTTCATGTCGTTTGATGTTAACCGAGTTCACACGCTCAGTGATTGGTTCACGAATATAAACTGTAGATATATAAACAGCGGTGTGAATAATAAAGTATACTTTGGCTCCGTGTCACGTCTTCTGTTGTTACACTATTATCAAAGCCTATGATGATAATAACTTTATTCTGAACATCAAGTCTGAATATACACAGTATAAATTTCAGCTTGGCTTTGTCTAGTGCTTATACAGAATTTTCTAGTATGCCAATATCTTACGATATACCATTCCACAGAACTTTGTTCTACGTTCAAAATGATTTGACCCCCGACATATTTGTAGCTTTTAAACAGACCATGCGGTACAATGAAAGCCACTCGAAAGTCCTTGTGATCACAAAATATTTTTTTTTAATACGAAAAAAGGTCGTTAAAAAAGTAAAACTCAGTAAGTGTGACTCCACCAGGCAACCAGTCAAAAACCTATCACTCAACAAGCATGTAGAATAAAATGGAGATGGATAGGACACACTCTGATGTGACCGTTGAGTGCCGTCTCGCTCAAGGCAAACCCTCAAGTCGAATCTGCATAAGGAAGAGTGAGTTTGGGTCGTCTTAAGGATGACATGGATTAGGTCACGTGAAAAGAAAAGTTTATGGGCAATTATGAAGCCAGCTAAAAAGGGTGAGGTGGAGATCGAGAAGCCCTATGTCACCTCAGGGAATAAAAATATCTCAAGTTTTGATCACAGATTGATATAAGTTAGAGAGCTATTGAAAACCAGAGAGTATCTGACAGTTGTTTTGTCCTAGTTTGGGACTCATTGGCAATTCGCATCCACCGGATTTCGAACTCAGGACCTCCCGGTTACAATTCAAGCTCGTAGGCAATTAAGCCACAGGGACCTGGCTAAATGGCCAGATTATGAATTCTAACTTCCACCGGTATCACATGGTGAAAATTCCATACTTGTACCAAAAATACAGTGTGTAGTTAAGCTATAATAAAAAAATTAGTGATTTTAGCTCAACCACCAGCCAATGTTGGTCTGACCTTATTAAGAGGGCTTCTGTGAGAAACTGGGGTCTTTTCTGAAACATATGTAACCATGTTTTAACAATGCATTACTTGTATATAGACGTTTCTTTCAAATTACGCACTTCTACTTCTGACGCATCTGATTGGTCGCCATAGGAGGTTTCGTTTTGAGCTGCTATAGTTTAGAGACACAATCATTTCGTTTAATCAGTTTCTATAATAAGAGTTTCCTTATAATATTTTTCTCCCTATTGAATCAATCAACTGTTCTCTTTGTTTTGCATTCATGAAATCTTGTCACAGTTACACTCAAACATTTTTCTTAATTTGAATCTGAACAATAATTTATGCTTTAGCTGTAGCTCGTGACGTATACTTTAATTCAGAGAACGTTACTTCTCAAAATGAAACTCATTCAATGGCCTTATCGACTGTAATATGAGAATTTTCGTGTGACGCTCCCCACTTAGCTTCCTTAAATATCGTTCACATGATATGTGACATTTTAATTCTGTAATCATGTGGAACGTTTTTCTCTGTAGGTACTAATTATTTCACAACTTAACAATCGACTTCATATAGGCTGTTGAGTTCTATTATTTCTGTTAAAATATTCGGTTTTATAAATGACATATGACAAAACACCGACCAGTTGAAGAAAAACTAGTTGGAATTGGAGTGAATAACTATCGGAGTAAAGGATTGGCGGGGTGCAAATGAACGCATGGCAATCCGTTTCGTCCATCATTAAACGCACCCTCCATAAATATTCTGGCTAGTCTAGTTATCAAGGCTGTAGTACAAATGATGTATAACTGAAATTACAAGGGAGTTACATTCACTGCGGATACGAAAATAGGTACAAAACAAAGAAACAATGGAAAACAATGAATTTACAGGAAACTAGAACACTAAATTTCTCGTTAATTAAATATTACTAATATTATGTAGACGAAAAACAATGTCCTTATTTACAATGCACAAACAAAGCAGACTTTACATAACAGTATTTTATGCAAATTAGGGCGAATACATTCAGTTTACTTAGGCATACCACTAGTCCAATTCATTAATTGTCCACTAGTTTTATAATGTACATTGATTACACCTGAAAGTATATCACTTTTGCTTGTATCACAAGAAATAATATTCAAATGAGTAGGCTTTATATTTAATTTGTTAAATAAAATGCCTAAATAAGCATCATCAATGCGTATTTCTTTAATAAAAGCGCTGCCTATAGCCAAATGTTTCACCACACTTGCACCAAGTAAATATGTTAAACCATAATAATATGGTGGATACGTTTCCCAAGGAAATTCTTTTATACTCATTGCCCATACACTACTTGTTTCATTTACTAAAGGTCTAAACACCGTTAGACATGGACGAATATAACCACCGGTCATATTTCTTAAGTAGGCTTTAGTATAATTTCTGTAAAATTGTATAACATTTCTTGGTACTAAGTCATAATCATCATCCATGAAAATATACAATGGGACTTGCTTTGAACAAAATGCTGAAAGCCAACGATAAGTGAATATCAGCTTTTTCGTTAAATTATAATATGTATCATGAAATGAACCGATGAGAAGATCCTCATGCAGATTAGCTTCTGTTTCTAATTTCTTTAAATAAGGCCATTTAGAGTCAGCATACTGTTTAGATAATGACCACCAGTTTGTCTCCAATGCATTGGTAAATCCATCGAATTTAAATATATTTGACTCATTTTCCATAGGTAATCCAAGAACAAATACAAATTGGACATTGAAATTAGGCCATAAATTATTTTGCATAAATGTTTGCCTAGCACGATCACGTTTTGAGATGTCGTAGATACAGGATTTGACTAAAACAATTAAATCTGGAATTACCTCATTTTTGTATGGATTGCAGATATTTTTAGGCAGTCGCAATGCAAACATTTCAGGATTGTTGACTGGTTTCTGAAGGTTACAAATGGATAGAGACAAGTTTGCAATAATAATTGTGAAATAAATTTAATGTCAAGGACAGTATGAAATTTGCAATTGATAGTGTTCTCTGAGCTCCTTGGTTTAATTGCGGAGCTTTCATCGTCTTTCTGGACGACATCTTCAGCGCAGTATTTAGGATAAAGTGAAATGATTTAAATTTCTTCATGAGTCTCCCGGTAACCATCTTTAGATATTTATTGACCGTTTTCTATTGATTGGGATTTTAAACTTTCTGATCACCTGATTTACTTTGAGTAGATTTTCTGTTCGCATGATGACTAATAAACTCGCTTCGTTATTTGACACTTTTCGGTGTATATTCCCTTCTTACATCTTAAATTCGGCTGTCTTGAAGTATTACGCATTGAGATAGGAAGCTCTAAGCCGTGTAGTGATATAATAACTTATGAGTAAATATTTAGCGGATAAAAGCTTTGTTACTTAAGACTATATCAGCAGCTGTATAAATTCCCTTGACAGTTCCGACTCTTTTCTGAGAAAGATTAATTTTGAAATCCCTCCTAACTCAGGAGAGAATACAAAATATAACTGTTTAGTGGTAGTCAATAAAATTTCGTTCTTCTGTTTTTCGATGAAGACAGAGAAACCGAAATTGCAGTAATTGTAATAATAATTATAAAAAAAAACAATCTGCTATATTCCAAGACAATACTAATGATATAGTGTGGGTGTGTACTGCTGAAGAGCCCCAAGCTAAGACAATGGACACAGCTGTCAAGTACTCCCAGATAGTTTTCTAATGGTTCTCTAACCAATCGATGTCACTTCATGATGAAATCCTGTAACGAATCAATCAAATCCCTACAAACCAATACTTGAAAAACAATAATACGGTTAGTAGCTAAGACTATTAGTTAATTTTATTGACTAACATTAAAAACAATTATAAAGGTGATATTACAGGATTGTTAATGACACTGTATATATGGTATTTGTAGTGACAGGGAAGTCATATATGTGTAGTGAGAGCTGGCTGTTAGTCAAAATTGGTGGACAGTAATTTACGTCAATGTTTATGTCCCAAAATATTGGTCGTGAGAAAAATGAGAACAAAGGCTTTGCGTAGGCGGATACAGTTGATAGATGATCTGACATTCAAAGAACAGCCACAAACAGATGAAAGATTAACTTTCAGTGAGAAATAACCAATCAGAGGACTGTGTTTTTCTGCCAAAAATTATCTATAATGTGTACATAAAAATCTATAAATGCGGGTTGAATTCTTTAATAAAGGATCTGTTGCCTGGCCCTTGCCTTCTGATGTTACATATGCACTAGAAAAATTGTAAATAATAGTAACAATATACTTAGAAGCTAGGATTATTAGCCAACTGAAATGGTGTGACTATATATTACATATGGGAGACAATGAAAGGGCCAAATATTTTCCCAACAACGTAGAAATTCCTAGGTGTTTCGCTTAACATTGTCTCTGTCACATGGGACGCGGGTTAAATAGGGTATCGTTGAATTCCTTCTGTGTTTCCTCGTTCAAGTTTGATGATTTGAGTGATGATGATGATGAGTGAATCATCACTCAAATCATCAAACTTGAACGAGGAAACACAGGAAGAGATACGCCAAACAATTGTACCAATGGTCAAACAGAAAAGACAACACACACAACTCAACTCTCAAGAACTAAAGGCCCTCAAAAAGCTGAAAAATAGGAAGGACATCGTCATTTTACCAGCCGACAAAGGAAGAACAACAGTAGTCATGGACAGAGAAGAATACACCAAGAAAGCTGAAGAACTACTCAAAGATGAAGATGTATATCAACAACTCCCAACAAATCCCATACAAACATTGGACAACCGCATCCAAAGGACCTTAAACAAGCTCAGCAAAACTGGACAGATCACAAAACAAGACCAATGGCGAATGAAATCCAATGGACCAGTCCTACCTCGATTCTACGGCAGACCCAAAATACACAAGGCAAATATCCCGTTACGACCAATTGTATCACTCCCAGGAACTCCAACATATAATTTGTCCAAGGAATTATACAGAAAACTAAAACACCTAACGGAATCTTGTGATCACTCCATCAACTCTGCTATCCAATTCCTAGAGAAAATCAGAGACATCCAAATAGATGAACAAGAAATAATGGTATCCTTCGACGTGACAGCATTATATACCTCTATCGGACAAAAACTAGCAAAAGAAACCATGGAGCAATTACTTAGCAACGACGAACAACTTCCACAACAATCAAAAATGCAACACACAAGCTGGATGGAATGCATAAATCTATGCCTAACAACATACTTCCAATTCAACGGCCAAATATATGAACAAGTCAAAGGAACACCCATGGGATCGCCAATATCAGGTTTGATTGCAGAAGCAGTGATGCAAAGACTCGAAAACATAATTCTACCAAAGATCAAACCCAAGATTTGGATACGCTACGTCGACGACACATTTGTAATAATCAAAAGAAACGAATTAGACAAAACTCACAACTTAATAAACAACGTCTTCAACGACATCAAATTCACAAGAGAAGAGGAATCCGAGAACAAAATACCATTTTTGGACGTCTTAGTCAGGCGAACAACTACAGGAGAATTAGAAACTCAAGTTTATAGGAAATCAACTCACACAGACCAAATACTGAATTACAACAGCAACAACCCAATAGCACACAAAAGGAACTGCATACAAACACTATTCAAGAGAGCAAGGACTCACTGCAGCACTCCCACCTTAAGAAAAATTGAAGAAAAGTATCTCATGGACGTCTTCCAAAAGAATGGATATCCACGGAATTTCATCAAGAGACATATACCCCCAAGCCAACCTACCAAAACAAAAGCCACCAAGGAAAACACAAAGAAAATCGCCTTACCATATATAAAGGATATCTCAGAAATCACTAAAGACTCTTCAAACCTTTAGGAATTGACGTCGTACACAAACCAACAAAGTCGCTGCACTCAATTCTATGTCAACCAAAAGACTCAACAGCGAAAGAAGACAAAACCAACATCATCTACAAAATAAACTGTAACAACTGCGAAAAACACTACATTGGCCAAAGTGGACGTCCCCTTCGTCTTCGTATCCACGAACATAAGCTAGCCGTCAAAAGACATGATATACACTCCCTCATTTCACTACACACAGACAACCACGGACATCAATTCGACTGGGACAACGTTCAAATATTAGACAAAGGAAATAACAAGAATGCTAGAGAATTTTTAGAAGCTTGGCATTCCAGTGAATCATCAATCAATAGACACATCGAGATAGACAAAATTTATCAACCAATAAGAAAGAAACTTCACACACAATGGGCCAAAGTTCAAGTCACAGAAACAATCAGTTCCAACACAAGTAACCTAGAAGGTGTGAAAACACACATAAACAACCAATCACGTCCAAGGTCACCAGGAGGAATGATTAATAAACTCGTGGAGAAACCTAAAAGCTCACTTCAATTTGAAGTATGCGCTGAAGATGTCACCCAGTAAGGTGATGAAAGCTTCGCAAACTAACCATCCAGCTCAGATAACAAAACCACACCAAAATCTTCATACTACCTGTTCTACGGACAGCCCTTAATAAAAGGCCTTCTTAAAATAAAATAGTGCTTTCTTGGCAGCCCAGGAATAATACGGGGGGCGGTGAGGTGGCATAGGTAGGATACAAGAGCTAAATTATTGTAAAAGTTGAGGTTGAGTGATGGTATCATTCTGTTTCACAGATTCCCATCAGCTGAAAACTACTTCAGTTTTTGAAAGGTAGCCAAGAAAGCATTCTAGTGGGAAGCCGTTACCAGTAGGGTACAGCAGGTTGAAGATGAGGCAGTAACTCATCGAAGAAGACATTGCGAAGTGGTCGCGCTATGTCGTGAACTGGCAGAAGTTAGAATTCAAGGACCATTGGATCGGGTCCCAGTGGCTCAATTGTCTACGAGCTCGCCTTGTAACCAGAAGGTCCTGGGTTAGAATCCCGGTGGGTGCGTACTGATGAAGAGTCCCAAACTAGGACGAAACAGCTGTCTAGCAGTACTCCCAGGTTTTCCAGTGGTTCTCTAACTGATGCCAGCTCATGATTAAATCCTTCCTGCAATAAAACATTATAAAATTAATGCATACGAAATATAAGCATTACAACTTGTAGTTTGAGTTACCGTCAAGTTATATGCCTTCAAAATCGAAAACGACATGAGAGATGAAAGCAGAAAAATCGAATAAAAAGTGTTAGCTTGTCGGTTTACATGAAAAAAGCTCAAGAAGGTTATAGCTGATAAGACTGGAAACTTGCTCAGTGAGCTGAAATCAAGGATGTGGGTGACTAATCAGTGAGAGATGTAATTTGGCGACGGGGAAAACTATGGATCCTTCTAAATTGGAATTATTGCTTGAACGACAAATGAAATTGATGAAAATGTTCGTCAACCAACAGACTGGTCCAACTTCACCTTCAAGCAATCCGAATCATACCATGCTACCATCAGTCGACGGCATTGTGAATAGTATTTCACAGTTCAATTATAATCCAGATGCGAGAAGCTCTGATATTCATGCATTACGAAAGAGCAAAAATCTCTCATCATCCACTCCTGACCCACCTTCTTCTAATGTTCCGCGAAAATCTACACATACTCGTCCAACTTCACAAAATACTGCAAAGAAGACCCCACCATCACCACGCTGGCATGGTGGCGCGTGGCACTTTGTAAAGTCTTGTCCGTACAAAAATCATCGTTGCAGCAAGTGCAAAATCATCGGTCATAAAAATGGATTTTGCCAGCCACGCAAACTCAGATATCAAAATACAGCGAAAGCTCGACAAACTGTTGGTCCTAAATCTTCAAGGAGATCATTGAGTCTACGCGCAACCTGTCAATTCACAACACCAGGTGTGCGGAAATGTCTTGATCTTCAGATGAATGGTCATGATACACATCTGCAGCTGGATACCGCCTCTGATATTACTGTTATATCAGAGAAACTTTGGAATACTATTGGCAGACCACCAATCGGAAATACTTCCCAGACTCTTCTCAGCGCCTGTGGTGGGCGGCTCAAACTAATGGGTGAACTCAAATGTTCTGTTTCTTTCCGCAATACCAAATTCACAGGAATTTGCTACGTCACCAAGAGTGATTTAAATCTTTTGGGACTTGATTGGTTCGATCGTTTGCATCTGGCTGATGTCCCACTAAATTCGCTATGCAATGCAGTCAAGAAGCATAAAATGTCAGACAATTCCGGACGAAGCCGAAGCCGCAAAACCAACAGGCAGACGAAGCGACAGACATCAACAACAAGCTAAACGGTTCCAGATAAAACCCCAGGAAAACACGCTACTATCATCAATCTTCTCAAAAGGGGAGGTGATATGTATCCACATAATATGTGTGTTTTGTTTGACAGTTTGATATATTTTGCTATGTATATATGGATCGATACTTCATTATAATTAGCCAATCATGTTAAGACTGTCTATTGATTTGTTGATTTTGAATATTCGCTCACACACTTGTGTTCACACACTTGTTCGGACATTCTTATATTTTGCTCACACACTCTTGTGTGACATTTTGATTCTCCTTCTGTTGGAAAATAGAAGTATCATCGCAAACCTAGTGGTCTTCTGATTTCCGTCTTTCTTGCGTCAGGACTATTAAATTCTCGACCAGTACATAACAATAATTTGGCGACGGGGAAAACTATCACATAACAAGATGGATAGAAGGCAATCTTTGGAACACGCAATGCTTCTCGATTAAACATCGTAGATTTTGCGAGTTGATCACGGATTGATATCACGAATGGGTAAAAGTTAGAATTCATGAGCCATTGAATCGGGTCCCAGTGGCTTAATGGTATAAGAGCTTGCCTTGTAACCGAAAGGTCCTGGATTCGAATCCCAGTGGGTGCGTACTGCCGATGATTCCCAAATCAGGGTAAAACAGCAGCTGTCCAGTTCTCGCTGGTTTTCAATGGTTCTCTAACTGATATCAATCCGTGATCAACTCGTAAAAACATAACAAACCCTTACAAACCAAACTATAGAAAATAAACATCGTAATCCTAAAAGTTCCGTTTATTTTCTAATAGATCATAGGAGTTCAAGGTTTGAAGTTTCAGAAGCAGTTGCGTATTTTTTTATAGCGTAGGGTTGCTAGCTCCAAGCCCAATCTTCTCTTTTTATCGGGCTTACTTCCGAATAAGCGAGGTCTATGAGTGCATCAACAGAGAATCCTCATCCATGGTAGGTCACTGACACGCTAATGGGTGTTAGTCTTACATAATCCGCTAAGCGTTTCAATCTGAAATAATAACGCACTGTAACTCATAGCTAATTAATGGACTAATATTTGAAATCTTGGATTGTTTGTCGGCAGTCAAAATTTTAGTGTAATTAAAATTTGAGTAGATTGCTAGGGGTTATTTTAGTTATTATTGAATTTGAAAAAGTGCGTGATTTTTATCGTTTTTGATTTGTCGAAGATTGCAAATTTCAATTATCACCTGATGACAACTGAACAACTATGTCTGTCATAACACCAATCAGGGGAATATCCGTTTAATATTGTTGATCCAGAATTCAAGTTTCAACACTAGAAGACACACTCACTTGGTGAGTTCTGAACAATGGTGGATGTGCACTGTTGGTTTCCACTGCTATCTACCACTAAATACGTCAAACATTAGTAATAACCTTAAGTACTTTGAAGATTCACAGCCAATAAAACAGGTCACAGGAAACGTCTGTACTCAGTTTTCATTAGGAAACATACACTAATACATCGCAATCAAATATATTGTAGTAAGTCAGAGAGTTAAAAACCTAGTGATACGCCATTCAGTCTATGATCCTGATCAATTTCGTGAACAAACTACTTTTTATAAAGTTGCAAACCAAAAGCATAAGCATTGGAGCAGAGAAGTATGAATCCATTTCACTTCTCTTTAGCTGCCTACAACATATATTAAAATGAAATATAATACAGTTTTAACATTTTTCTGGTCATCCTTAAGCGACAGTCCTTCAAACGTTTTCAAACCCTAGTCAATTTTATCAAACAATTTCTAATGGGGTGTATCAAACTGAGTGGTTGACAGTGATTAACGACAATGGGTTTTTTTTAAATTTGAAACCAGAAGTACATAAATTGACTCCCTCACTTAGAAACATAGTGAACAGTATGTAGAATGCGCCAACTTACCGTCTGAATAGGAATGCCATCCTCAATGGAAGAAATAAGTTTTGAAAAGTTTAGATTTTGTGGATAAATTGAATAATCAGTGTCATTCAATTCATAGTTCTGCCACGTACCATAAGTTAACACGTCATCTGTAGAAATGTTTGCATTTTTAACAAATGGAATATATTTCAAGGCAAGACTAAAGGCTGGTAAACGTTTATCTATAAGATTTAAAAGAGAATATGGTGGCCAACCAGATGAATACTTGTAACTGAATGCATTCATTTCACTACTCATCATATCCAGGTATTCAATACATCTAATCCATGAAGTTTTTGATCTGATACATTGCTGAAAATATTCTCTTCCACAGATATTATACAGAATAAGACTATAGTAATCAGGTTTATTGTAGGCCGCCCAAAAAGCAATTATGCAAATCACACATCCACTGGTAATAAAAAGCAATCCTTTTTGAATACGCATCATTTTAATCTCAGAATCTGGATTTAATTTGCCGAATGAAATATCTTTCAAAGTGTATAACGGTAATATGGACAACTTTTTTATACCTTCCAGTGCTCATTTTTGTCAAATGGAATAGTTGAGGCATTTATATTAACAGATTCAACAGAGGTGTTAATTCATATTAAGTTTGCCAATTCGAACAACACAAAATATCAATATGTCAGGAAGTAGTTTCCTACTTGTTAATCGAAAGTTCAATCACAGATCGAGAAGTACTAATCAAGATTTTATTCAATCCAAATTTTCACCTTTTTCCTTGTTTGATTCAATGAGAGTCACAGTTAAGTGAGAAATGTTCTTTGCATTAAAGAAGTCACTAGTAAGTTCGAGATCTACTTTTCATAAAAAAGAGGGCATTCTTTTTATCACATCATTAGTGGCCTGCTTGAATCTTTGGGCTACCTGAATTTTCATCCAACACAATCCATCTTATTTTCTTTGATTCCTGCTGTCATAAATCATTCAGTTATATCCATGGGTCTACAAATGTACTCGTGTACATTTTTAATTGATTTGTTGCCTATAACTGAGCGTTTCTGTGGGATCAAAGATAATTACTGTGATGGATTATTTTATTCTTCAGATCTAACATCACTGCGTCACACGATGTACTGGAGTTGACTGTTTTACTTGAAACTCCTGAATCAAAAGAAAATATTGTGCTATAGAGACTACGCTGAAAATTGTGTATAGCGTGTAAACGTATTGTGTATAATAAAGCTATTATTATTTCTATACATAAAAATAACTGTGTCGCCACAGTCTAAATAGTTGAGAAGCTATCATCCGGTTTCCAGAGCAACTTAGATATGGTTTTAAATGTAATTTGTCCAAAGATTAACAAAATGAACTTCAAATCAGTATTAACTACTGCCGAATTCTGTTTTCGTCTGAACAGGCGGTTAATCATTTAGAGGAAAAGCTTGTATAATGTGAAAAAATATTCCATATGACAAACATTTCTCGAAAAATACCTACCCATCCAGACATGGAGATAAAAATAAACACTTCGACGAAGAATCTCTTTTCAACGAATTCACACACTTAATTGTACAATCGTAGTTATATATAATTTATATTTTATGTGTCTGTACATAAGGCAAGAATAAAAACTGGCTCGAAGTATTGTTTACATTATGAAAATATTTCAAAACATTGTAATGAATAATTAAATTGTAACTATGGGGGGTGAAGTTAAGTAATTTAAGACTATGGCCTATAAATATGAAACATTTTCAGAAAAATCCGATTTTAATGTGAAACAGCAGAGCGAGAAGTATGAAGGTAAAGAGAGTAAAGACAAGCTTAGTTGAGAAAATGACGTTAATGAGTATCACACTGATAAATTGTATCAGTAGCACACGCTACACTCGTCCACCCCCATCAAATAATTTCAGACTGAGCCTTTCCCACCTTAATGGTTCTAGCCATTCCTGTTGTACCTTGATCCTGGCTTCTTTATCTCACTGAATTCATTTCTGCAGTTGACTGATGTAAACCCTTTTCTGCTTATTTGCTCTTTTGATGGTACAAATGGGACCAAGTCTCTCGGTGAAAGGGTATGGCCCTTCCCACTTTGGGAGGACTTTCCGTGACCCTGGCCCATATCTAACCGCATCATTTTTTTCTTTACACTTTACTTGATCACCTATCTCAAGGGATATGCATTGCATCTTCTCCCTGTTCTGATTTCATGGCTTCTTTCTTCTGTTTTCGCTTCACATTCCTGATGGCGTCTTTCCGTTCCGTTCGCAGCCTCTTCATATTCCACTCCTGATTGAGAGGCTAGGTTGTGTTGTGTATTGCTAGTCGTAGTTTCCTCGCATACGTCAACTGGAATGGTGGTTACTTTGTTTTTTCCTACTGGATGGACGCACAATGTGCTAGCAGAATCAACAGAAGCTTTGTCTCCCAGTTACGTCCCTTCAAAGCTGGCCACTCCTTCAGTGTACGGTCATTTCCCTCTGTTAGACCATTCATTTGGAGAGGGCATGGTGTTGTTCTGATCTTCTTGATACCCAGCCGTTGCAAACGGGGAATGAGTTCTTCGCTTTCAAAAAGGGCCTTGATCTGTCAATATCGTCTTTGGTACACCATGGTCTGCAACGATGTGTCGAACTATTGCATCAGTCATGGTTCTCGCGTATTGACCAGGGATCGCGACGGTGTCCACCCATCGTGTAGCGTGTCCCATCAACAAAAAAGGTACTGATCTCCAGTGAACTGACTCCTTAAGTGTCCTGCCTTGCCACATTTAAAGCATTGGTCTTTCCGGCACTCATTGGTAGTGCTGCTACTTCACGCTGCAAATCTACATCCTTCTGTTCTCATTCATTCAATTTCGTAGAGTCTACTGTTGATACCACTGGGCTCAACAGCTATCTGGTCACCTTCGCTAGCTCACTGATGTCCATAGATTGAGCAGTGTCAGCCAGTTTAAGTTGCTGAGAAATGTGGTCTAGGACACTCTCAGTGAACTAGGATACCAACAGCTGTGAATAAGTCTTTTCATCCAATGGGGGAAGTGCAGGAAGTAGTAGATTCGTCAGCTTCGCGGCATGAAATCGCTACATTGCCTGTGTATCAGGTTGCTGCACTCCACCACCAATAATTCATCCAGTACCTTCCAAGTTCCCGTCTCACCTGAGCACTCCACACTGTCGTACGTCACCTTTGCTCGACCTCTCAGATGCGTCTCCAGAGCAACCGCCCTCGCCATCGGATCCCTGACGCCCACCAACTCAACGACGGCCCCAAAGTCTCGTAATAAGCTCCCAATATCTCCTTCCTCGAAAGCGGCTGGCCATGGGATCTTCACTGGCGAGAGGCAGCGATACCATTTGCAACGGTAGAAGACGGGAGATTTGGGAATGGATGCTCATCTGTAACTAAGTATCTCTATATAGCCAAGTTATGTGCACCTTATCTACAAATCACCATTTGCACCGCTTTTTCATGTTGTGATACTTCTGGCTTTCCTTCATATTGTGTTTCTTTGTATTCCTTTCACGTCTCCCATGCTTTTCCGTAACGCTGTCTTATTTCCTTACTCTGACATCAAATCTTCCTCCCTGTTGTTTGATGTTTTCATCGCGATGAATGTCTCTTCATATATGTGCTACTGACAAATCCTATCAGTAACACACGTCACAATACGACAAATGAGCAAAAAATAGTATAAAATGATATCGTCATTCTATTTCACAGGTTCTCATCGGCTGCACACTCCTACCTGAAATTACAATGGTTATTTGGATGATAATAACACACTTTAATGTGTTGAGCAGTAGTAGAGAATAAATACTATAAAACCTACACATCCAAAATGAAAGCAGAATTGCAATTCTTAGTTTAAGTTTTCATCATCAATTTATACGCTTTTAAAGTTGGAAAGAGGAGGGAAGGGTTAGGACACAAAACAGAAAAAAACTGATTGACAGAATAGTGTTAGCTTGTAGGTTCACATAACAACTCAAGAAACAAAAGCGGTTACAGTTTATGAGATTAAGATTTCTTCAGTGATTATATATGCGCAAACCAAGTTCACTTTTAACGGTTTGAAAAAATTTGGGCATTGGGTATATGATATTCATTATAATTAAGGTTTTTTTTTGTATTTTCTAATGAATGAAAAACAAAACGATATTATTTTTAATGACGTTTCGCTATTTAACGCTAATAGCTTTATCAAAGTATTATTAAACCGGAATTTACAAAATCTCAGCATATATATAACAAAGAGTTAGGGGGTGAGAAAAAAATATATAGACTTAGTTCAACTTAAAAAGACATATTGAAAGTCCAAATAACAATTAAAAGTTATTTTTATTCTACATATATGCATATGCTTGAAGTATGCGGATATATGTAGACTAATGTGGACAAGAATTACTACGCTGACAGCAAATTAAAAAGTTTGCATCTAAAATCCTGCTAACTGTGTTTGTTTTCCATTAACTGATATATATATATATATATATATATCTTTATTCTAAACAATGCAAAACAATCCCCGTTTTGTAAGGAATTATTCGCTGTGTGTATATATGACAAGCTGGAAGAAGCGTTGACAACTGAAGCATCATGGATTAACTTCCTGAATCAATTGATATCTGTTAGCAAGAATTCTTTCAATAGAATAGAAATTCTTAGATTTGTTTAAAAGCACAATCCAAAAAACTTCATTGTTCTACAATCCTTACAGGCTATATCAAATGGTCTCTCAACTAATGAGGTATGCTACATAGAAATTATTTGGTAATGTAATAACGTATTTGGTAATGTATATCTCTAAAGTGAATGATCAGCAAAATGTTTGAGTCAAGGGCGTTGTTTCCATGTGGGTGGTATTGTAAATTACGGGAAAAGTTGTGCTTACATCCATACTATATGAATGATTTTTTTAAATATGCACTCAAATGTACACTAAAACTAACCTTGTGTTTTTGAATAAAGTAACATCAACGGCAGTTTGCGCAGAACAAGATGCTGCCATCATTGGTTTATTTCGTTAGCCTCTCATCATTATCTGCATACGGCCTAAAGATATTATTATTAAGTTCGTGTACAGAAACAATGTCAGCATACTTGCAAATGTTACATGGTGTCATCTAATGACAAGAGACTTCGAACTCAGTAAACAGTGTTCAGAAAATTACACTTAAAAAATTTTACCCAGAGAGTTTAGTTTTAAACAAAAATAAATAAATAAATAAATGCATACACGTAGTAAAAGAGTGATAAAGACAACAGATGAATAACTAATAAAATGAGTAACAGTTTAGTGAGTTCAACTCAAATCATAGGGACAAGACGGAGACTATCTGAAAAATGTGATGTATTAGCGCTATACATTTCGAACAATCTGATCACACATTTACTTGTCAAGTCAATGTATATAGAAAGGTTAAATTAAACAAAGTGAGAGAAAACGGAATTAAGAATAATTAACACAAACGTTT